CGGTAGCGGCTTCTCCCTAGCCACAGCTAACGCAATTACCAGAGCCAATATGTTCAAACTTGACTTTCCTTCGTCGTCTTTCGGATCACCAGTTCCGGTCTACGTTGAAAAAAGAGGACGCATAAATTATGTCTTAGATGCTCTCACTCGCAATGCAAAAGACAGAATCAATGATGTCGACATTGACGAAAGTTAAGAACGCGACGAACATTGGATTAACCGGGTCAAATGCGCCAATGACGAGAAAATTTCTCTGGTCAGGGAAAAAATAGGCTTGGACCCGAGGAAACGTTGGGGACCGTACTTCGATGGTTTCCGCGAAGACGACATTGACTCCGAGGACGGTAGGTCCTTGGATTTTCCTCCTTGAAAGAAGTAGAAGTGAACTGCCTCACATGTCGGGGAATCTGAAAAAGCAATATCCTTTGTAATTCACTTGTACTGTGTATGATTTCAGTCTAAATTGCGTCAAAAGACTCATTTACCTATTCTCACCGCTTACTACCTATGCTGAACGGGTACAGATCTTTCACGCAAGACTAGAACAATTTCTTGGAACAAGGAACAAATTCCATGTGTGAGTAAATCGGTCCCTTTTCAAAAATCTCATTTGGAGCGTGCCCTGTTTACGAGCTCAATTTCGTTGGACCCGAATTGATTTCTTCCTTTCTGAACTTGCTCAAGTTATCCTTGTTATGGAGTTCTTATGTGTTATTTTTGCACGCAACAGAGTGACATTTCATTCAGTCACAAAGAACGACGATTCTCGGATTATCACTCCGTGAAAAGTCCGGCTCCCTTCCTGAGCATCTTGGAAACGTCGGAGGCTACATGTGAGTTATCCACAGTAGGAATTGGAGTGAGTGCATGTTCTCTCCCGCGAGCCTACGTAGAATATCATTGAACAGAACCAAGCTCAAAAAATTCATCCTCACCATCACAAAGCGGGGATTCAAAAAAGATTCAACGCTTTCCAAAGGGTTCCCAGCAAAAGCGACGATGTCGGCGGACATTCCAGAGAGAAGTTTTCCAGTTACAGAAGCCAAGCCACATACTTCGCTGGCCTTTTCAGTTGCAGATGTGATGACTTCCCGCAAAGTAAAGCCAGCCTCGACGAGGACGGAGAGTCCATCAGCATATCTTTCGAATGGGCAAGCGACTGAAAAAGGGAGTTAGTGTTTGATGTTCATATCTCGAATGGTTTCCTCAAGGGGAAACATTGTACTTACCAATTCCATTATCCGTGCCAACGACTATTTGAACGCCGTGTTCTCGCAAGCTGCTTAGGTTTTTCAAAACAGTTTCCCGAGTATCCCAAGGACAGAAATAGTCCTTCTCCATGCAGGCAGTATTCATTGTCGGACATACAGCGATATTTTGTGCAACCAGTTTTTTGGCAATCTCTCCATCGAATTTTGTTCCGCCCTCTGCGCAAGAAATTTTAAGGAGTGACCACGACAATATCGACGTCAAATCATTACCTACACTCCATGAACAATGTTCAATACAGTCAAACCCTGCGTCAATCGCTCGTTCAATGCCTTCTACACCCGTTGCATGGGTTGTGACAGGAATCCCATGGGCATGAGCTACCTCCGCAATAACACAAAGCTCTTCAATGGAGTAACGCGCTCTTGCGGGCGAGCTACCTGGTGTTAGAAATCCTCCTGAAACCATCATTCATATGTCAGATATCAGATATGACTATCCTATCCTATCCTGAACGGACAAATATACGGCCAAAGGACCGCTCATCGGAGGTCCCAAAACGCTGAACAAAAAGAAAAGGCGAGATCTAGTAGTACTCACCCGTGGTCATGACCTTAATCACGTCGACTCCCTGTCAGATCCCGGGATATGAAACGCATCCGTTTTGAAACACAAAATAAGCAGACCGCTTACCTCCTGAGCTCTTTTTTGAGCTTCTGCTTTACACTCATCGATACCGGCAGCAACACCACCCCAGGTGCATGCGTGTCCTCCGGGGACAGTGATGGGAGCATTCGCTGACAAAATACTGGTATAGATGTCAGTGGGACTGAAGAAAAAAACTGGTTTAATTCAGCCCATGTACATACCGTGGTCCTCGAACTAAGCCCGCACTCACTCGCTCTCTCAATTCAGTGGAGAGTGTACGAATGCACCCCAAGTCCCTGACAGTAGTTACGCCAGCGTCCAGCACTCGCATGCAGTTCTTCTCCATCCTAGAGATCAATTCTGAGTCCAGAATTGGAGTGGCCTCTGTGGTCTGGAACGAAGATGGGTCCATGAAAAGATGAACATGACAATCGAAGAGACCAGGCATTAGAGTCACATCTCCAAGGTCCAGGATTTTCGAATTTTCAGGCAAGGTATATTGAAGCTCATACCAGGGCCCCGACGAAACTATAATTTCGCCTTCTACAAAGACAGCACCGTCTTGGATGACTTCGGAGGCGCTTGATATGAGAAGACGAGCAGCACGAAGACAGATAGCCATGATGAAGGTGAGGAACTATGCTTTGCCTTGAGTTGTAGTTGTATGTTTCGGGGGAGGTATGTTCGGTATTTTTCAATTGTGTTAATTTTGTGAGGATGCTTATAGACAGTGAAGAGATCTTGAGTACCTTTCTCTGCTGAGAGTTCTGTTGCACCTTTAAGGAAGAGGCATTTGCGGTATTCATTCAATGAATGATGAATTTCTTTGTGAAAAAATTGATAACGTTGAACTTTCACTCGACAACGTATACCGTGTGCACTGCAAGACGATCAAGATCCCCGTCGCGACCAATACATGGTCATGATATATTCATGCAGTCTCCAACGCTCAGCATGCGGTTTCTTCAAGAATCCGAAGCTCTTCAAACTTCCGCCACATACTAGTCAAGCAAGAATACGAGCAGCCTCTGATTCTGATTCCAATGCGATAACAGAATTGCCAATCATCCATGAGTCACAGCGTAGTGAAAAAGTTTCAACGCTTAGTATGTATGTGCGAGTAATTGACGGAGAACAATCGACTTAGAAGGGGAATCAAGGCGGAAAGTTCTGTTCAATTAGGCCCTTAGAAGAGGAATCGTGGTTTCAAACTTTTACCTTGGAAGCTCCGTCTGCTGAGATATTGGGTGAGTGCTCCGATGATGTTGAGTCGCGGAGGTTCACGGGTTCAGCCGTATTCGAAGTCGTTCTCCCTGTCATCCGGTCATCATCGTGGTCTTGTAAAACACGGCCTTCCCACTTTATTCAAGGCGGGAAGATACGGTCGATAGAGTGCAGAAGACGACTTACAGTGATTTATATAGTTTATCTGAGAATCCAGACAGACGTGGCACATGGGTACATATATGTTCGTCCAGAACAATTAACATATCTGTCTGCTTTCGGGATGAATCGGGACTCAGAGTGAAATATCTATCTGTACATGTTCGCCGAACTTGTGGCCCTAAAACCTAGGAAGAACGAATGCATACACTTAACGTCCCTAACAGTCTTTAAACCCCTGGACCATTCTCAGGTCCTGAGATAATCCAGTACACTCGCAGAGTCACGATCTGTACTCAGGAGCCAAGCTACATAAGCTCAAGACTTCAGTTGCATAACTCTGCAGTATTGCGCAATTACACGGGCGATTACTGATATCGATTTTGAAGACCTTGTTACCAATCCTTTGGCGCGTGCGGCTTTTTAATTCTTCTTTTCTGGAATCGCACGCTTTACAAGTCATATACTTACCACAACTCACGGTTTGATGTCTCACTTACGAGAAGAAATGACCGCATATCGATGGTTTCCTGGGGCGCAAACGTTGACTAAAGCTGAGGTAGCAGTCCCCGAACCTGCAGCCGATGAAGGTCGGGTATTTCGTGGTTCACAGTGGAAAGGCTGACCGTGGTGATATTGTTGGTGAAGATTTTGGCTGCAGGAATGTGCCACTCCGATATGCTATATTACGACACTTCGTTTCAACACACCAAGACAAAACCGTGAGTGTAGCTCCCTACCTGGGGACTGGTACATCTACTGACAAGATTGGCCGTTCAGATTCACTATGGGCCATGAAGGTATGCCTAGCCATTTACATCATGCGCTCATATCGATATCGGTGTTCAGGCGCGGGCGAAATAATCGCTCTCGGTGAATCCGTACCGTCTACATATCCAGACCTTCATTTGAATCAATACGTCGTCATCCATGCCCGGAATCCGTGCCTCCTGTCCACTTGTCCGGTTTGCTCTATCGATGCGGACAATCTCTGCGCACGATATTTTCCTTGTGGTCTTGGTATCGACGGCTCTTACGCTCCATATATGGTTGTACATGCTAGAGCTATTGTTCCAGTCAACGCTACGAAGGATGAAATCCCACCACCGTTGGCAGCAGTTTCTACCGATGCAGTTTTAACGAGCTATCATGCGATGAAGGATTTGAGAGCAGGGGAAACAGTTTTGGTCATGGGGATTGGGGGATTGGGCATCAACGCAGTTCAGATTGCCAAAGTTCGTACTCATCTTTTCTTTGTTTGGTGATGTTGCTTATTTGTGATGGCTGTAGAATGTTAAGGGAGCACAAATTGTTATTGCAGCAGATCTGCGCGATGAGATGCTTCAGGAAGCTCTTGAAGTTGGTGCAGACTATGCTGTGAAGCCCGAAGACCTAGGTTCCTTACTATACAACCACGGTCTCAACGTTGACACTGCATACGACTTTGTTGGTGTAGGGTCCACCTTTAAATCAGTTCTTGAGCATATTCGTCCTCGAGGTACTGTGATTATTGTCGATCTTGGTGCAACTTGCGTCGAACTGCCGCTGGTTCCTGTAACTAGGAAAGAGGTGACAATTAAGTCAAGCTTGTGGGGAACTAAGAAGGAACTAGAGGAGGTTTTGGTTATTTTGAAGGATAAAAAAGTCAGGCCTCTGATTGAGACGAGGCACTTCGTACAGGCTTTGGAAGCCTTTGAAGACTTAAAAAACTCTAAGTTGAAGGGTCGTGTGGTAATGGTACTGTAAACACAAGACAAAAATTCCTTCTAGCCGACTTGAACGATTAACCTCGTCATTAGCTGAAGGTGTACAATACTACTAGTGACGCGCTCTACCAACTGAGCGAAGAAGGATTGAAGTATAATTTTACAGATATAATCCATATCATAATGCATAATGACTTAACACTCAGAAGACTGATTTGATCATAAGTATGCCTTTGTTTTTATTAACTTCCTTCCAAGTCTTCCAAGTACGTTTGAAATCTTGACACCAACTGCATTAGATCAAGGTTTCTGAAATTCCGCTTCAAACTCAATGAATCGAGACCGCATTCTACTGTCTCAAAAGTCAGCATTTCACGTCGTATCGAAGTTGCTCTTAGAACAGTGCGGCGTTGAGGTATTATAGCTATTCGATGCGTTATATTTGATGCTAAAAATACCTGACCTTTATCAGCCTTTATCTAGTACTCCTGGCGGGACTAGTAAGCTCGATTCTGAACTCTCTATTCCGATTTCTGTCAGGTCTGGCAAAATTCACTCAGCGAAACCATTATGGCACATCCACAGCTATTGTCAGCGAGTGTCAGCTATTGTCCCGACCATCTTCAACACCTAGCGCAGGACTTATGGCGGATATCTCTCAGCTTCCCGAGACTTCTTTGGATAGAGCCTGCGACTTCGGAACTGATGGGACCGGAACATCTGCATCAGGGCTTAAATCGTCCACACTCTGATTTGTGCTTCTTTATCAGTGAGGAAACGCCACTCACTACACTAAACCGTCGATTCTTCTCGAACGCCCTTAACACTTCTTAACACTTTGATTTCTACGTCTGGGATAAAAAGGGGTTTCTACTCTTTTCCTAGCTCGCATTCCATGCCCTTTCAATGTTATACAACGGCTCTCTACCCGTCCAAGAGGTAACGCCTGAAATGAACGGACACGAGCTCAATGCTGAAGTGGCACCCATTCCCACTGTGTTGCCTTCCTCAACTCAGAGTTTGAATACAACTCTACCAGTTTTGCCCATGTCGGTTCTCTCGATCGTACGCTTAGACTGACATTAACTTGTACATTACATCACTGACATGTTTCCGTCAGGCAATGCTGGGAGAGTTTCTCTCTTCCAACGTGTCAGTGCCATTCTTGCTCTTTATGGTGAAAGGTATTTCTTTTCACTACGACTTGAGATTCTTTCCCGCCAATGCCCTTCTTGTAGGCTTTGGATTCTCTGATGAAGCAGAAGCAGCATTCTGGACAGGGGTCCTGGGTAAATCTTTGCTACCTTATCATTCTTGTCAATTCTAACGTTGGCAAGAATAGTCTCAATGTTCTTTCTTAGTCAGTTCCTGACCTCCTTGCTTTGGGTAGGTATATACTTTATCTCTGGCCAAATTGCGCTGATCGCATGACACTTTTGTCGATGCATACAGGCAACACTCGCCGAGAGATGTGGTCGCCGATTCGTGCTGGTGGTCACGTTGTTCGGAAGTGCAGTATCTGTGACCGCCTTTGGGCTTTCCAAAAGCATTGGGCAAGCAATATGCATTCGCCTTGTGCAAGGTGTTTTCGCTGGTGCGGTCGGGGTGGCAAGAGGTTCTGTGGTTTTCATCACCGATAGTTCGAATGAAGGCAGAGCATACGCTATTCTTGGGTATAACATTCCCGTTATGCTTCCTCGGAACCGATAACTTATTTGTCGCCGTAGCTTTTTCTGGGGATTCGGGGGACTTCTCGGCCCAATTATTGGAGGTTCATGTAAGTTGTGATACAAGTTCTTTTTGACAGAGTACTGCATTGCTGACCACTTATCAGTTGAGCGTCCAGCTGAGAGGTGGCAAGTGTTTCAGCACTGGAAAATCTTAGACGACTTTCCGTACCTTCTCCCCTCTTTAATCGCAGGGTTAATACTTTTTGCGGGTATGCAGTGCACTTATTATCCACCTTGATGAGTTCCTTATCTTCAAGTGCCTAGGATCATTTCTTGCCTGCTTTCTAGGCTACGATGGTACAGCGACTTCAGTCCAGCCTCATCCAGAAAAAATCGAGATTCATTTCCCAAACTCTGATTTCGAGGTACAACACATACTTCCAACGACGCAAAGTCCGAATAGAACACTTCAACGACGCGAGTCGTCAATATATCCATCGACAGCGAACGTGCTAGAATCCTGGGTACAAGACCACTCTCTTCATTCCACTGGCACCTCCTCTGGAATCCTAATGGGTCCTCGAACAGTAACGATGTCAAGTTCGAGGTCCAATGCCATGGCAAGAAGCCAGTATTCCACGTTCGAACGGACTTCTGGATCACAATATCGACAGACAGTGCCTTTGACATTCTACCCAGGTCTGAGTGGGAGTATACCCCCTTCTAGATTCTACCACGACGACAATGATGAACCGGACAGCCGTAGTGTGGTGGAAAGGGTAGTGCTGGCGAACGAGAATGCCATCAACAGCATCGCAGATCTTTGGGTTGCCGCTGCGTTGAATACCGAAGGGAATGACGACGATGGTACTCATATAAACACGAGCCACAACATCTTTGAATTCGAGACTGGATTTTCTGTTGATGTTCACAGTCACAGAGGACGAAGTGATCATCCCTCGCGTCTTTATTCTACGACTAAATCTCCCTCCCGGCGTCGGTCATCTCGTCGTCCCTCGACTACGAGGCCTATGGATGCTTCTCTCAGTGTTTATCAATCAGCTGGTGGTGCATCCACTCCTCGACAATTCCCTTCAATTTTTACGAACTCTGGGGTGAGTACGCCTCACGATGTATTCGAAAACCCCGCTTGTAGCTCAGAAACTGATCTCACGACTCATCTTGAACGGGAATTACCTCCCATTCTTGAATCAAGGCAAACTTCCGCCATGCATTTCAATGAAGGGGAGACCGCACCACTTCTAGATATGGGGATATCTTCTTCATCTGCACCGCTCCCGTGGCTTGTCATCATTCAATTTGGATTACTTGCATTGCACACGACAACACACGATCAAGTTTTCATGTCTTATTTGGTTAGGTGAATGGATTTCGCTCTAACACTCCAGCTCATTCTAAAGCTTCCTGCCAACAGCGATTACGATGCAGGCGGACTTAGCCTCAATGCAAGCGATTTCGCGCAATTGAGTACGTTTTCACGATATGCAAGACGTCTACTATTATATTCATTTTTTGTTTTTGATAGTCGGGTTGATGGGGTTTGCTCAGATCATCTACCAGTTCTATTTGTATCCGTGAGTTTTTTTGTTCTACTCACTAGACAAGTTATTCAGGATATAGGTGGTCTATTCAGAAACGTGGGGTATGTATTTTCTTTCTTCTCTTGTTCTAATGTTTACATACATCATCAGCCCTCCAAGAGGTCAACTTTCTTATTTGACCATGTATCGACTAGGCACGATACTTTTCATACCGGCATATTTAACGGTCGTGTTATATCGAGTACCGTTTGGATACTCGTATGATCGAAAGAAATGGGTACTTATGACTGGTGAGACTTAGACCAACTATCTGCTCTCAACTTCAATGATGATGTTCAAAAATATAGTTCTCGCACTAAGCACGTATGTACCCTATGCTGATTTTCTCTGTGAACGTTTCGAATGATACCCCGAAGAGCTGTCCGTTACTGTGGAATGACCTTTGCGTTCACTTCGATATCCGTGCTTCTGAATTGCTGTTCGTTTCACTCCAATTTTCAATTTCAGATACTTGATACGATATTAACTTGCTTTGCACGAATAGTGACCCGGCCAGAAGCTGTTGGGTATGCTAATGGTCTCGCACAGACCATTGTAAGCTTAGCACGATGTTTGGGACCCGTGTTAGGTGGCTGGGTACGCTCTCGTTTCTTGAATTCATTGTATTACCTGCTCTAATTCACTGTGTATCCCAGCTGTGGTCTATAAGTGTAGACGGTCATCCCTCGGGGTATCCCTGCGGTTTTTTAGTGTGCACTGTTATGTGTATTATCACTGTGGTCATGACTGTGTTCATTTATTGAAAATACCTGATTTCTTTGCGAATGACCACTGGCATGTCCATTTACTGCTAGCTTTAAACATACCCGCTTCATTCACTTGTCCACTTTCCTAGAATTGGGGCCTCTATCTACCTTCTTTCTGTCAGATCTGCGACATAGGTTGTAAAGCACTGATTTGGGATTGATTCTGACAGCCTGAGCTTTGACTTTGAAACTGAAACTGGACTCGTATCCACGAGGTGAATTATTGGCTCACGGATGCTTATTGGCAGAACACCTCATAAGTCCCCGAAGAACACTCTGAACTAGCCTCGAGATGATCATCGGCGCTAATTGAAAATGAACAGATGGATGTCATGAAGGTACAGGTTGGTCAAAAGCACTATGATTGGATTGGGAGAAGGATATTCATTCCGATGGTTGAGTCTTTGTACTAATAGGCAGCTTTCGGGGTTCGAACCCAAAAGGTTAGGACTTTGTAGCAGGTTCCGTCGTCGGTGTTACCGCCGCTCCGACCTGGCTGCTCCTAGTTCTCCTCTTCTCTATTCTTGATCTCCGGGGACTAACGGCGTAACAGCGGTGTTGTTAATAACTTCACTACTGTCCCATTCGACCCTCCGCACTTAGACACCTTGTAGCCTCTGGCACAGTTACATGGTGTACATGATCTTAACACCAATGTCACCACACCTGATTTGACTTTCAGGGCCAATGACACCGAACCTCTGCCCATCATTGACCATGCTACAAAGATGGTTATTGGTTTCAAGGTTGACAGTGCAAAAATTCCATCCAGCAGTGGTCCATGTCATGAAGTACGTAGCCCCTATCATTTTCCTTTTCTCACCGTTTCGACGCCTTTACTTGTACAATTACATCACTACCAAATCCCATTGATTACTGATCCACCTGACCCCCATCATCGATTACCGATCCACCTGTTACCCTTCTCCTTCTACTGGCTTCCGCCACCTTCCTTGTTCCTAAACTGTACAGCATTACATCGTCATTTCTCGCAGATCAGATTATGTATAAATAGCCAAACCCCCACAGCCTGGTCCCTTATCTTGACCTCTCTGTCATTATCTTGGGACCAGGTATGTGTTACTTATTATTACCTATGACTACAATAC